ATCGAATAATAACATAAACAATGTAAATCAATAATAATCGAATTATAAACGAGAAGATGAGAAATGGGAAAAAAAGGAGAAGACAAACAACGTCACAGTGAAGATACACTCAAGTAGCTGAGATATTGATATGCGAATAATGAAATAGTAATTGAGTGATAATAATAATGAATAAACATAATGAATGATCAATAACAAATAATGAATGATAATAATAACACATATAATAATAAGATAATATAATGCTAGAAAAGAATTATAAATAATGATAAAGAATATGATAATATTACCAATAAAAATGATAACAATGATAAATGATGATAATAACAATAACAACAATAATGATAATGATGATGATATATAACAAAATTTTTAATAACGATATTGATAATAATGATAATGATCATAATGGTAATGAATAATGATGATAATGGTAATGATGATAATGATAATAATCATAATGATAATAATGATTATCATAATGATAATAACTATAATAACAGCAATAATGATAAAAACAATGGTAACAATAATGATAAACGTGATAATAATACCAACAATAAGGGCAGCAAGGATAATAATAATATTATTAATAATATCAATAACAATAATACTAATAATAATGTAAATAATAATAATGGTAATGAAAATAATGATAATGATAAGAATTGCAATTATAACAATGATGATAAATGATAATAATGATGATGAGGATAAAATAAATAATAACGTTAATGATAATGACAATAATAATAAGAGCAATAACAATGATAATGGTAATAGATGATAATAATAATGATGATGGTGATAACAGAATTGTTGATAATATCAACAATAATAGTAATAATAAGAATAATGATAATAATAATAACAATAAAAATAAGAACAATAACAATGATGATAATGATGGTGATGATGATGGTAATGATAAAAAAAAAAACGCTAATCACACAAAGGATGACGATGATACCAATAATGATCACAATGATAATGACAATGAAGCTTAATCAACCACTTACCTAAAAGCTTAAAAAAATATTAAAAAAAAATCCTAACTGACTATCCTGCAGTTTCAGCTTTAACACCGCGTGGTTTTCGCACACGGAACAAAGCAGATATCAGCTTGAAGTCGGACTCACAGCGGGACGGCGTGTGTGGAGGAGGAGGTGGTGGTGATGGAGGGGGAGAGGGGGGGAGGAGGAGGTGGTGGTGGATGGAGGGGGAGAAGGGGGGGGAGGAGGAGGTGGTGGTGATGGAGGGGGAGAAGGGGGAGGTGGTGGGGTGGTGATGGAGGGGGAGGAGGAATGGAGGGGAGGAGGTGGGAGGAGGAGGGGAGGAGGTGGTGGAGGGGGAGAGGGGGGGGAGAGGAGGGAGGAGGTGGTGGAGGCTAGGAGGAAAGGGGGTGGGGTAGGAAGAGGAAGATAGTGGAGATGGAGGTGGTGGTGGAGGTGAGGGGGAGGGGGAGGGGGTGAGGTGAAGGTGAAGGAGTGGGAGGTGGTGGTGAAGAGGAGGAGGAAGATGGTGGAGGTGGAGGAGGAGGAGGAGGTGAACGGAGAAGGAGGGGGAGGTGGTGGTGAAGGAGGGAGAGGTGAAGTGAAGGAGGGGAAGGTGGTGGTGGAGGAGAAAGTGAAGGAGGGGGTGGTGGTGGAGGAGGAGGAGGGGAAGGAGAAGGGAAACGAATAAGAGGAAGAATAGGAAGAAGAGAAAGATGGACAAAGAAGGAAGAAAAGCAACAGTAGTAATAGTAGTAGGAGGAGGAGGAGAAACAGGAAGGAAGAGGAAAAAGAGGAAGAGGATGAGGACTGTGGAGGATACAAGGTGATGAGCATAAACAGGAATAGGAATAATAACAGGAGGAAGAGTATTCGAAGAGGAAGAAGAAGGGAAGGAGGAGGAGGGAGAAAAGAAAGAAAAATAGGAAGAGGAAGATAAAGAAAAGGAGGGGGGTAGAAGTCGAAGGAAGAGAAGGAAAGCGAGGAGCCATAGGAAGAGAAGGAGATGGCGAGCAGGAGGAGGAGAAGGAGGAGGAAGAGTAGGTAGGTGGGGGTGGGGGTAAAGGAAAGATCCCTGTGGGGAGGAAAGAGTTTGTTCAACCCTAACTACTTTTCCTCCTCCTTCCCTTCACCGTCTCCCATTCCGTTTCCATCACTTCCCAAAAACCACGCGGTTGGCCTAACACCACCTCCTCTTTCTCCTCCTTCCCTCCGCCCTCCTTCTCCCTTCCGTCCCCATCTACAGCTCGTAAATAAGGACTTGCCCAGGCGTAGAGCGCGGCCAAGATTTCCGAGGGTGAAGTTGCCTGCATACACTCATATGTGTGCCAGCCGACGTACCCTCGAACAGAGCGCCATAAGCTGGGGTGTTGCGCGCGCTCACGCCAAAGGACATCGCGAAGGCCTGCGTGTTGGCTTCGAGTACTTTGTTTTTCCCCGTCTATCTATTTTTTTTTTCAAGGAGAGATAATCTTATGGGTTTGTTCATCTCCCGGGATTTTATTGCT